ATTTGCAAAATCACCCAAGAGGGTTGATAAGAATGCTGTTAATGAGGTACATGGTTTTCCAAATGGACAAATAGATGACAAGGGAAAATCTTGTGCTGTAGTCTATGATAATGTAGTGGTATTAGAAAGGAAAATCATAAACAAATTACATCATCCTGCTGAAAAAAAATTGTTGGTAACGAATGTGAAATATTTCCTGCTAATGAGAACATTGCTGGAATATTGGCTGAGAACCTTTATTAATGAGAGAAAATTTACTGCCCAAAATGAGAATCACGTTGTGATGTCAGACGAGTGTTCTTAGAACTGAGCCTGATTCTTGGAAAGCGAAACATGAATCTCAATCTTTGACAAGAATGTTGTTCTCTAGCACAAAAAAATCCCCATATGAACAAATGTAACAGGCTTATTCAAATCTCCATACTTAGCATTATTACTTGTTCCATACCACGTGCGTAAATTTAACAGTCACTTTTGGGTAACGTCTTTGATTTTTAGAGATAAATATTAATGTTTTCCACATCTTAGTTGGAGTACAAGTTTGATTCTTTTCTCGACAAATTTCTATGGGCAGATTCATCTTGACAAGAAGGTGCCAACTGGGGCAGGACTTGTTCGTGGTAGTAGTAATGCCGCCACAACTTTATGGGCAGCAAATCAGTTTAGCGGCTGTGTTGCCAACGAAAAAGAACTCCAACAATGGACAGATCAAATTGGTTCGGATGTCCCATTCTTTTTCTCTCATTGCATGGCTATTGTACAGGTCGAGGTGAGGTATGTCTTTTACATTTATGGTGCTCATATTGAGACCTCATCTTCAGCTTTCTTATAGTGCATGTTTGGTTAAACTAAATAATTTCTTTGCAAGTGGAAGTTCGAAATTAATTCATTTTGAAATTGATATGAAGTGATAAAGTATCGAGTTTTTAATGTTAATTGGGGTTTCTCTGGTGATGACACTTTCTGGAGCACTGGATGGATTTACATCAGGGTACAAAATCAAATAGCATTTGTATTCAATGGTAAGTTCCCATCGGATTACTGGAAAAATCTACTTTTCGTTCATTTATTAGCTGAAGAATTCTAAACTTCGTGTAAAGATTGATCAGTTGGGATTTTTCTTGTACTGCAGTTGAGGTTGTTGTAGATACTGCTTTGCCTTTCACATCCAGGTCCAATGTTCCAGCATAGTTGATATGGCTGACGAAATTGTGAAGCTTAAAAATTTCTCAAATGGTAGTACTCTGTGTATCCTAAAAATCCTCAATTCTGTTTTATTTCTTCATTATACTTCGTAGTTGATAAGTCTTATGGGGTCAACTCTCCTAATTTTACCGTTGCAGTAAGAACAGTTTTTAAGGGAAAGATTGCAGAGATTGAGCTACTACTTGCTTAAGTTGATATAAGAATGCACCGGGAAGGGATGGTAAGTGAAAGAGAATTGTGGACAACTAGGTTGAGAGATATTCGGCTATGGGCTTCTTACAGAGGCCAGACACTGACCCACACGACTGCGGGAATGATGTACTACAATCGGAGTCTTGACATGCTGACTTTTCTACATTCAACACACGAGATAGACATCATGGAAGGATCTCAGCAACTTCATTTCATGAGCCTCAATGATAATAAAGATAGATTGCGCTCAATAATGTCATCCCCTTCAAAAACTTCAGTCGATGAAATTTGCTTTCTGATTAAATTCACTTACGTAGTTGCTTATCGATTATATGGCACTCAGAAGGTCGAAAAGGATCAGCGTGCTGAGGAAATCTTGAATCTGTTGAAAGACAATGAAGCTCTCCGTGTTGCTTACATTGATGCGGTGTCCAAAGAGAAGACTGAAAAACAGTATTATTCTGGTGAAATATGATAAAAAGCTGCAAAGAGAAGTGGAAATCTATAGGATCAAGTTACCCGGTGATCCCCTGAAGCTTGAAGAGGGGAAACCAGAAAATCAAAATCATGCCATCATCTTCACTCGAGGAGATGCAATCCAGACCATTGATATGAACCAAGACAACTATTTTGAGGAGGCGCTAAAGATGCGAAACTTTTTGGAGGAATTCCAGCACAACCATGGCATCAAGAAACCGACTGACTATATTGGGACTCTGGGAGCACATATTTACAGGTCCAGTCTCATCACCTGCTCAGTGCCCAGGAGACAAGTTTTGTGACCTCGGGGCAGCGTATTATGGCTCACCCTTTGAAAATCCGAATGCATTATGGTCATCCAGATGTGCTTCACAGGTTTTGGTTTCTGACTCGGGGTGGAATAAGCAAGGGTTCTAGAGTGCTTAACATCAATGAGGATATCTTTGCTAGATTTAATTGCACACTTTGGGGTGGAAATATCACTCATCACAAGTACATTCAATTAGGCAAGGGTAGAGATGTTGGCTTAAATCAGATCTCTATGTTTTGAGGCCAAGATTGCAAGTGGGAGTGGAGTGCAACTCCTCAGCCGAGATGTCTACAAGTTGGATAGTAGGCTGGACTTCATAAGGATGTTTACCCGTTTCCTCACTTCTATAAGGTTCTTTCAATGCATTGATGAATGAT